ACCAAGACACATTTCGTACGTGACTATTGAAAACCTGTTATCAATTGGTTGCGCTTTTGTGTCTACCTTATTTTTTTTTTCGTTCATTTTAATTCATAGGACAATTTATTTTCTGGTTTTTCTCTTTTAAATTGTTTTGAAATGTAAAATCCTTAGCTGTATTTGCTTATTTTTTTCGGAATTTCTGGTCAATGCTGTCCAACTTCGTACTTAAGTTGGCTTTTATAACTTATGTATTTTTGCGTAACTGATGACACAAATAGGAAGACGTGGTATGAGTGCCAATGAGACAACTCTCCATCCAAAACACAATGTATAAAATGTTAACATGGTAGCAAGCATAGGTCAATGTACGGCTTTCAATACGGAGTCTTGGCTCACACCGAACAGCAATCTATAATGAGCCAAAAATTACTCGTGTAAAACAATTCCAATAGGAAAACCAACAATCAAATCTATATAAAAAACGAAAGCGAGAAACACCTATGAACCACACCAACAAACGACAACAATTGAACAAGAGGCGCGACGAGTTTTCTTAAGACGAATAGCTGGTATACAAGATGAATTTATTATGAAATATTCCTGATTATTATATCCAATTTATGTGAAATCACCTGGTAATTTAAATGCGAGTAGGTGAGAAGTTCCTCTTTAAATAAACATTCGGCTGAATGAGTAAAAAATGACTTCTGTTAAAAGGATACTATTTTCAAGCATGGTTGTTATGAAAGGTTTATGATGGACTCACATAGATGACTTATCGTTATCTTGATGATACTTTTTCATTTAATACTAGTAATCAATAATCTAAAAATTTTAAAATTTACACAAAGGAACTTACTTTAAATAAATCAAATATAAACAGTAATAACTGTCCTTTCCTAGATTTAGATATTTCAGTAAACTCCACAATAAAATGTCCGACAAAACAGAACATGTGAAACATCAAATTTAAAAAAAAATATGCATATGCTTTTTATAACTTAATGGCTACTTTGAATTATAAAACTTATGTACATATACTTTTTTCTCGAGAAAATTCTATACTTTGTTCAAATTTAGAAAATTAGAAGAAGTTTACTTTTTTTAATTGCTTGCTTCCAGTTAACAATTCGCCTATATGTTTTCCGTATGCAGTGAACTCAGCGTGACCTTTCTCGTAAAAATCCGGTGATCGCAATACGCATGGATCTGTTATTGAAATAAACTAGTATAATCGTATTGTACATGTTAAACACGTTCTAAATATCAATGCTTCTTTGTTGATTGTTTACTAAGGCATCAATCGGTACACTACGGCTTCAATTAATTAGCTGCTGCAATATATGCACATCATAACAAACCGAGAGAATTTTTGTTGACGATTATACGATATGGATGCGTAAAAAATGATAAATCGTGCACATAACACTAAGTTTATGATATATACATGTACATGCATTGGTTCAATAATTGGATAAACATTATTTTTCACCAGTCACTCGTTTCATGTGACTTCAAACAAATCTAAAGTCTAATTTAAATTGGGTTTAAATTCAGGAATGTATTGGTGTAATTAAATCTAAAGTACATGTAGTGTAAATTAGATATTTCAAATTGTTTAAACTAATATAAAATTTTGAAATTTGAAAATTATATAAGCTTTAATATGGATTTAATATCAAATTATATGTACCATTTCATGCAGTGTATATAGATATAACCAGTTTTATCACGCATGTCGGTATGAAGATGTGGTCAGATTGCCATAAGAAAACTCTCCTGAAGAGATCAAACGACACAGAAATTAACAACTACAGGTCACTGTACGACCTTCAACAATGAATAAACCCATACCACATAGTCAACTATAAAAAGCCCCGAAATGACAAATGAAAACAATTCAAACGAGAAAAAACAACGGCCTGCTTTATGTACAAAATAATGAACGAAAAAAAATATGAGAACCAGCAACATACGACAACCACTTATTTACAGCCTCTTGACTTGGGACAGGCACTGGGTTGAACTGGTTTGAAGGTGACAATCGTCCTTAAACCTAGGACAGTGGCTTAACAGTACAACATAGGACCAAACTTTGCAAATCAGTGTAAACAGATTTTCTAATGAGAAAGGTAAATATGCTAGATATACTTACTGGAGGTGTGATGAGCCGATCGAAGCTGTTATTTTCTTCTTTATAATATTTATGTACGTTTCGGCAACAAAGTTTTCGACAGGTTGTAGGTATTCAAATGGGCACTAGTTGCGCCCCCTTAATATCAGTCTTGTGTTATGAATCACAGTGTATGACCAAACTCAGTAAAGACCTGTCTTAATTGCATTTAATTGATAAATTCAACAACACTTACCGTTATCTTACTGTTATCTTGATGATTTTTTTTTTTCGTTAAATAATCAAGAATTTTCTCAATATACTGCTGAAATTTACCAAAAGCCAATTACTTTAAATAAATAAAATTTAAACGGTAATAACTGTCCTTTCCTAGATTTAGATATAACAGTTTTACACGGGAAACTCTACACTATAATTTGCGACAAAAAGGACGATTTTTCGTTCCCTGTTGTTAATTTTTCATTTTTGGATGGTGATGTTCCTTTGGCACCATCTTACGGTGTTTATATTTCACAACTCGTTCGCTATGCCCGTGTCTAGTGTGACGTTTTTGATTTTAACGAACGAAATCTATGTATGACTGGTAAATTATTAAGCCAGTGATTTTGTTACCCCAAATTACTTAAAACCTTTACTAAATTCTTCCATAGATATAAAGATTTGGTTTGGAAGTTTTGTTGTACTTGTAAAAAAATTATTTCAAATGGATAGCTCACTCTCATTTTTACGGAAATGTTGTTTACCGCACAAAGAAATTTAGATACGATCCTGGTAAACTTATTGATCCTTTAAATAAACTTATTCTAAAAGGTTACCAGTTTAACACTTTGATAAGATCATTGAATATTGTTTTTATTTGTATTAATATTGATTTTGCAATCGGTAAATTTAAAGCAAACTAATCATTATTGTTATACATATACACATTCATGGATCTACAATCTGTCGATAACTGTATCTTGGCATTTCACAAGGTCATGTTTTTCTATGACTGTTATTACACTAAATCCATTGGATGTTGGATGTGTTCTGATTGATAATTTAGTCTTAGATGCATGATACTTTTTATTAGTTGTTAGTGGCTTTGAAATAGCTTTCAGTAACTGCGAGTACTTTCAGATCTGTATGTAGTGTCTTTTTGTTGTTGGGATAAACAAGTCACCGGCCACGTCCATTCTGTTTAGTATTTGTATTTGTATCCATCTGATGAGTTAAGCCTTTTTCAACTGATTTTTATAGTTCTTATTTTGTACTGTTACACCACTGTCCAAGATAAGTGAAGGATTGGAATCCCGCTAACATGTTTTACCCCGCAACATTCTGTATGTATGTGCCTGTTCCAAATCAGGAGCCTGTAATTCAGTGGTAGTCGTTTGTTTATGTGTTACATATTTGTTTTTCGTACATTTTCTGTTCATACATTAGGCCGTTAGTTTTCTCGTTTGAATTGTTTTACATTGTCATTTCGGGGCCCTTTATAGCTGACTATGCGGTATGGGTTTTGCTCATTGTTGAAGGCCATGCGGTGACCAATAGTTGTTAGTTTCTGTGTCATTTGGTCTCTTGTGGAGAGTTGTCTGATTGGCAATCATACTACATCTTCTCTTTTATATTAACTCATCAGGTGGATACAAGACATAATTTCAAAAATCAGAAAGTAAACATACAGGGTACTATACAACCCCACAGTACAAAGAAAATAAGTATAGATCTGAGAGAACTCGCAACTAAGGGTATATGAACAATGTCAGACAGACATGTACATCTTATCATCATTCAATACACCAAATATAGTTGACCTATTGCTTATAGTATCTGATCTAAGATAAAATAACATTGACTAATAAACCATGAAAATGAGGTCAATGGCATGAACTCTGCCAGACAGACACGTACAATTCACAATTGTTCCATACACTAAATATAATTGACTTGTTGCTTATTATATATTATCTGTGAAAAAGACCAAATAAAAAATCAAAAAATTGTCCATTGAACCATGAAAATGAGGTCGAGGTCAGGGGAAACCTGCCTGACGAACATGTACGCCTGACAATCAATCCATGCACCAAATACAGTGACCTTATTGCTTCAAGTATCTGACTTGACCACGTTACTTTTATCTTGATCATTGATCCATGGAATAATATTACTCATAATAAGTGAGTATTTATCAACAATATATAAAAAAGAATATAGGTCAAATTTACGAAATTTTCTGGGTTCCCCAACAATTTTCTCTATGACTTGAGTTTTGAACGTGATAGAACATTTGACCGCTGCAGACGATTCTAATTTACACATTACACCCCTCAATTTGAGAATCGACTAAGCTTTCTCCATCTATGGTATTTATATTCAATCAATAAATCTCCATATTTAGGCTTTTTCGTCATTAAAATTTATCAAAACGTGCTTTAACTAAACTTTAAATAAATTAACCAAACTGTTTATTAATAGTTAATCAGATATAGCTCCAAATGAGTTTATTCGCAATTCCCAAAACGTGCCTCGGTAGGTTTTGTTGTCTAGTGCAGCATTACCTGTCGAAGTCGATAAAATGTTACATTCCGTAGTGATGGCAGAGGTAAACTTGTTTTGGGTACTTTCAACCTGTTAATATCATGAATATTATTGAATTATTATTCAATTACACTGATGATTTTGATGGAAAGGTATTAAATATCAGTCGCAATAGGTTTTCTCTCCAGTTCTGTTAAACGTATTTTTAAATTTATTATATGATACTTGCACTTAAATATTGAATTATTATTCAATTACAATTAAATTATCATGATGGAAAAGGTTTTCTCTCCAGTTCTGTAAATCGTATCATTATTTATTAAATGATATTTGAACTTTTTCTAAATACCCCTTCACCATCGATTCGACTAGTCTGTATAGTATGTGGCAATCTGGCCGATCGAAAGAAGTGTAAAGCAACACGAAATGCGTGTACCAATTGTTAATTGCTGAAGAAGGTGTGTATTAAATATATATTCCTTTCTTTCTTTTTTTTAATATTTTGTTCATTAATGTTCAATAGTCTACATAACTGTTAAATGCAATAATGGTAATTAATAAATTATGGTCAGACATACGGCTTGACTGCGGATGACAATGACTTTGAAACCGAAGATTTTCTTTAGATTCTGTTGTACCTATTTGGTTCATTTTTCTATTTGGCATTTTGCTTTATAAATGTCGCAGTATGTTTTATGATACATACAGATAAGATAAGATAAGTTATTATTGTCTTTACCAAATTACACCCCAAGGGGGACAGTGTACTGTACATATAACAATTACGATTAAAAATACGAGGTGGTGGACACAATTCTGAGGATAAAAATAAAGAGGAGAGTGGGAATCATCCAATGTTCACCCCCTGAATTACAGGGGCGGGAAACAGGTGAAGAGGGTAGTAAAAAAGGGATAATTTATGCTTAAAAAAATAGTAAGGGGGAGGGAAGTGGTAATCATCACATGTTCACCCCTTCAATTACAGGGATCAGTGTATTAAGTCACTAAATTAATTGAACAATTCTTTTTTTACAATTACTTAACCCCAGTTTAACAGTATATTTAAAGTACTACTTTTAAACTCTCAACCAAACACCAGACAAACTTAAAAAAATTTAATGAGTAAATTGATTGAAAATTTCAGCTTGATCTTTTCTTATACTCTTTTTTTTATGACGGGACGTATTATGGTATACTTGTCTGAATATCCGTCTGTCGGCAACACGTCCTACAATACCTAAAACCTGCTTGCACCATTTCCCCTGAAACTTTGGTGAATAGTTTAAATCTATTGATGTAATCTCCCTTCCATTTTTTTTTATAAACTTTAGATTCTATGTTTGGATCATTAATGGAACTTTATTTATAAAAAAAGGTGGATTTCCCAGTTTTCGACATATCGCTCATATTCCTTTTAACCTTATCTCATGGTATTGGTCATTTAAAAAAATGTCGAATTTTGAAATTGATTTATAGTTACTAATTCAAACAATCCTTGTCTTAAGCAATTCAAAACAAACAGTACTTATAGAACAACATATAAAACAGATGCAATCTCTGATAATGTCATTCAAGAATATATTGAAACATTTTGTGATAGGTGGTGCAATATTTTGTCTCTCCTGTTACCGTGTCCAAAAGCAATTTCGGGTTATTTAGAAAAAGGTTTAGATAAAATTCTAAGCTTGAATTAACAAAAAAGCTTAAACGTGTTTTATTTGTTTTCAAGAAGTCACTGAACCATGAAAATGAGGCCAAGGACAATGGACATATGGAAAACGGAAACATCTGCGCACAATGTATGAATCATCCAGATTCTGAAATATAAAGCTTTAAACACATAGTTTACGCCGCCGCCGCCAAATGGCAATAACTATGTCTCACATATTGCATCTAACGTCGAAGGCGAGACAAAAAATGACGAAAAGAAATAGAAAAAAAAAGTCTACATAACACTATTTCGAAAGTAAAAACTATAATCAAACGTTAACACGAACCCAACCAAAACTGTTATGATATTAGGTGCTCCAAGAGGAAAATAATATTCTTCTTCAAATATGGCTCTTTTCGTGCTTCTTATGGTAATGACAAATTCGGTGTCAATCTCTTTCTGTGATGTCACTGTAGTAGGTGGATTACTATGCCAAGGAACAACTATTGATTTTTGATTTTTTCGTGTTTTAACGCCACTTTTAAGCACCGCTTTTGGGCTATTTCGTGGCGTCAGTTTTTATTGGTGGAGGAAGCCGGAGTGCCCGGAGACAACCACCGACCTTCGATAGGAAAACTGACAATCCTAGTCAATTAAGATTGGAGTCGGGTGCACCCGCACGAGCGGGGTTCGAACTCACAACCTCAGTGTTGACTGGCTAGTGATTACAGTAGTAACTACTTAGACCACTCGGCCACCGAGGCCCCCTCAAGGAACAACTATAACTAATTCTATGGTTAATATATCTAATCTTAGTACTAATTTATCATAGGATATGTAAAAAAATCCGTTCATTCGGTACAAATCTTAACTTCAGTTGTTTTATGCAAATCAGCCCTGATTTGTAATACCAGTAAATGAAAACAATTCTGAAATAAAAATATAACATATATAAATAAATAGCAGTTTCATATAACATTATCACGTACTATGGGCAAATACTATAATAATACAGAAATATAATAATAAACAAAACATTGTAACTGTTTCAAACTAAGTATCAAGTAACATATATTGGAGTAAGACAATGTTCGATGCGTATAGTCATTGACATCGGTGTAACATGTAATTTCGCAAAAGACTAGACCTTTAATTTACACAATACGTGGGAATATGAGCCTTGCGATAAAACGGCATTTGACCCAGGAGGCCGTATATTGGACCCTTTTTGAAGGCGTTACACAGACGGAATATTGTCCGACGGTGCAACAGATTTTGAAGCTCTATATTCCACAATAGTCATTGAAATCTGTGTTACGTGTAATTTTTCATATTATAAAAGACCTTTAATTTACACACTACGTGGGAATGTGATCAAGTTTGTACATGTATCTATGTATTTGTATTTACTAATAGCTTCTTTACGTACAATATGAAATTAATTCTATAGCTGCATTTTTCAACAATTATTTCACTAAATACATATATCGTTATAAAAAAGAAAAGCATAGCTCGGATGAATTTTTCAAGGTGCAAAATATACATATTACAAGGTAAAATAAAACGGTCAATTGCATCTTCGAATTTTTACAGGTAAGTTTTAAACTTAAAAAGTCCGTTCTTTTGATTTGGCTTTCTGCCAAATTTGCGACTCGCTTAAAGTGCATATGACAGTTTTTGCCGCGACATTTTGCTAACATTTTTCACGAGAATTTTGTGGTCAATTCAACTATTACTCATTTGCGCATATAAGTACCATTTTTGAAGATTTTATTCATCACAACGTTAAAACGCTGCCGTGCAATTTGGGACCCTGCTATTCGAAATATCGGCATCGGCCGTCTCCAGGCCGGAGTTGCCAAAAGTGAATTAGCAAGTACTGAATATGTTGACAAGAGCACAAATTCGCGACTTTGAAAAAGTTACCAGCAGACCAGCTGTACTAAGGACCACCAGAGGAGTGGACTTCTTCGCCTAAAGACTCCTTGACAAGATCGCTGCATCCGGGTATTTATCCACGGATTCGAACCGTTATTAAAGACTTAGAAATTTATTCCTGCAGGACAATGCTAGGCCTCAAACAGCGCGTTTAACAATGGACTACCTTGAGCAGAATAACATGAATGTACTTCCTTGGCCTTCCTAACAACCGGACTTGAATCTTATTTAGCATATATATGAGACCAACTGGATAAATGTGTGTGTCAACCTCCGCCTCAGAACCTTGATCAACCCTGACAAATGATGCAACATGCTCGCCACACAACAACATTATAACATTGATAGCATCCATGCCGAGGAGATGCAAAGCAGTCTTAACAGCGAGAGGTGGTCATACACGGTTCTAATTTTAATGGCATCGGAAGTAACTCTTATTATGATATACTGAATTTTATTCACCAATCTCGAAGGAATTGACTGACCTCTTCTTAATCAAACACGTTTTGAGTGAATATCTTTATTAGTAATTGTAAAATTTCCATTAAAAAAACATGTATCAAAATTTTAAAAAATCCATTATCTTATTGTCCATGTTGCTTATACCCACTTAATGTTCAAAACAAAAAGTTTCTATAAACGAGTTACACGTGCCCTGAAGCACATTTATCAGCTTGAAAGGATTTGTGATTGAAACTGACGAAAGGTATTTTTTTTAAAACAAACAACAATAATAAGTAGAAGTTTACTAGTTTAATAAAATTGGTACCATAAATCATTAATTTAGTGTTATCATGAGACTATTTAAAACTTCAAAATTACTACAAAATTAAACAGTATCAAAGCAATGAAAAAAAAGAAAGAAAGTTATGAATTGAGTAAAAATCTTTGGCTAATGCGTTCACCAAAAACAACTATGACTGGATTTGCTGTTGGCAAGAGCAGTGATTTAAAATATTTGATAGAATAAAAAAAAATACAGGCAATTGATTCAACTTTTGAATATATGTATATAATGCATTTTTTTAACATTTAGTTTTAGAAATAACCTCACATAATGAAGTAGTATTGATATAAAGTGATGGGCAGTGAAACAAAATTTAGTTGTAGCTCAAATTTTGGGTGTATTGATTTGAACTGTAAATAAACAAACAAATAATTCCTCACTAAAATATTGCATGAGTTACATTCATACTCAATATTAGGAAACTTATAGACTTACTACCATTTCATCGTACTGCTGTTGTCTTAAACACAATTTATTATATATTCCAAAAACGTCCTAACATCACTAAAACTATTCAATAAATGAAATGCATAAAAAGAAAGTCATGCATTAATTACAATTCTTGCACTGACAATGAAACAAATTCTTGAATACAACCTATTAAGAGATCATTTGAGCCTTCATCACTTTACAATATTATAAGTTTATAAGAGAAAAATAATCCCTTACTTCATGATAAGCACTCGCTAAGGCTCGTAATTAATCATGAAACAGGGGATTAACGTTTTCTGACACAACATATTTGTACGTTATAAGAATACAGAATACAAAACTATTAATTTATATAAATGGAAACTCTTTTCCGTCTTTTGTTTAGCCAAACGCAATTTACAACATATAGACTATTCGTGACAATAATTAAAATGTACTATTTGCGAATTAACAATCTAATTCTACTGTGACAAATAAATCTTAGGTTATAAAATGATTTACTCGCAGCTTAATAACAATACTCTAATGTACATCTTTCGTTCTTGTGCTACATGTATGCGAACTTAGAAGAACGATACAAGATAATAGAAACTTCACTAGAACTTGTTATTCAAGTGAAAAAGTGAATAAATGTTAATAAAGGAGTAAACTTACATCAGTCAGTAAATATGTGGTTTCCAAAGTAATGTAATTAAAGTTTCAGGAAATTCTGTGTTAGAACCAGAGTGGGTATTAAAAAGTATGGTTTATCCCTTCCTAAGCATTCGTATCATGATATGTGTATCTACTTTGGCTATTTTGTTATAAACAAAAGTTCAACTAGGTCTTTCCTTCTGTCCTTACCATGCTTACGTTTAAGATGACGAGTTCTAATTTACAATAAATGGTTATGACATACAATATTGAACAGCTGAAACAATAAACTGTCAACGATTAAATGATCAAATAAATATAATATCTATGACAAAAAACCAAATCTATTAAATTTCGACTACAGTGTTAAACGCAACAAAGTGTCCTTATAAGTTTTATTCTAACATGGTTTTGATCGTTGAATACATGAAATACTATAATAATCTCAATCAGATAAAAAAAGACACACATTGATTTGAAATATTTCTAGAGGGTTTTGTTCTTTTTCAAATACAAATAAGAACGTTGTTATTTCACTTTTCAGAATTAATCCTGCAAAAACCCAAATGAGTTGCATGGACGTAATTCCGGTTGTGGGTCATGCTAAATCGCTGTTTTATTACTTTCAAGGCCAGAATAATTTGGCAGCAGAAGCATTCAAACGTTCAACACATAATACAGGAGCATTATGTTTTGGTGTTATTGGAGATTCCCTGATAGGTCCTCCAGGAACCTTCATTGGGGGTATTTCCGGAGGTTTAGCTAGTGATGCAGTAATCAGTGCACTGAGTTTACAGTGCTACGGGTATATGATATACGCAAAAAGAGTGTTGAATTGGAATATGATGCTAGAGGATTGGGACGGTTTAGTACGTTTAGCAATAAAGGATGGACTACTTGGATTAGCAGGCTTTATCATGTGTAACTGTACAGGCATAAATATAAACCATGACGGTTGTTCTTTTTACTGTGAGTGATATATTGATGTCTCGAGTTGATGCTGGTGTGATAATAACTAAAGCTTTGTGATATTCTCTATTCATTATACATAGTTATAATATAGAATACTAAAATCATTACAAACCCTGATTAAAATGCCACCTACAGTGTGTTAAAACATTTTATTCATTTAAAAGAAATCGAGTGTTGTTGTCAAGTAGGGTTTTACTGTACAATTTTCATCAAAAATATTAAAGTTTTATGTCCTTCATTTATTAGTTTGAAATACTATTACCAGTTACCATCTTAAACTTGAATAATATAAAGTTCTGTCAATGTATCTCTAAAATAAAAGGACATTAGCTTTTTAAATCAATAATGTTAAACTGTCATAACTCTTATAAAACAAAGACAATTTATATATCGTTTGCAGGGTTGCATGCACTTTACGGTTGTTTGATCTCTTCGTGCAAGTTGTGATTTTTTTATATTTATATGTATACCCTTTACCATGTTTACAATCTTTAAAACAGGGACGAAAGATACCAGACGGACAGTCAAACTAATAGATCGAAAACAAACTGACAACGCCATGGCCAAAAATAAAAAGACACACACTCAAATAATAGTACAGATGACACAACATAGAAAACCAAAGACTAAGCAACACGAACCCCGACAAAAACTTGGGGTGACCTCAGGTGCTCCGGAAGGGTAAGCAGATCCTGCTCCACATGCGGCACCCGTCGTGTTGCTTATGTTATTACAAATCCGGTAAATAGTCGAATTCGGTAGGTCACATTCGTGAAAAGGGAAGGGTATTGTAGTTACGACATAAGGAACATATCCGATATCATCTGTGAAACGGTTATTCCATAACGGTCAACCAACTCGTGATGGCGTCCGTAAAATTTACGAAGGGATGATTTCAACTTCACCATTTTGAACTCTTGGTTTAATAGCTTCCTTGTGAGCAGCAATCCTCTATCAAGGAAATCATGATAGGAAATACAAGCCCGGGAATATCGTATCAATTAGGAGATATATACTCCGTATGCAGGCGCTGCTAGAATGTTGCTACATAGAAATGGAAAGTTCACAATTGGGAAGCTGAAATCATCTCTTTTGTCGTAAAGTTTTGTTTTCAACCGACCCTCATTGTCAATTTCTAGATGTAAGTCAAGATATGAGGCAGACTTAACTGTGTTTGTAGTATCCTTTATCTCTAGTTCGATTGGATAGATTCGTTCAACATAGTCACCAAACTTTGTATTATATAGTGAGAGAACATTATCTATATAGCGGAACGTAAAGTTAAAGGATAATTGCTAACTTTTTATCTTTCTTCCTAAGAAGTTCCTGTATGAAGTCAGCCTCATAAAAATAAAGAAACAAGTCGGCAAGAAGAGGGGCACTATTGGTTCCCATTAGAATTCCAACAGTATGTTAAAAAACGCGTCCTCCAAACGTAACAAATATGTTGTCAATCAAGAAATAAAGCATCTTGATAATGTCAGTTTCAGAGAATTTTTTGTTTGAATCAGAGTGATTCTTTACAAAGTAGGATTTATCCCTCCCCAAGACAAGATACTTGTATCTACGTTCGCCATTCTTTTTAATGAAACTTAGTAATACCAACTCTTTCAATTTATCTTTTAGTTTGGAATGGGGAATACTTGTGTAAAGTGTAGAAAAGTCAAATGTTTTAATACTATTGCAAGATAAGAGAGTCTTAGATTGTATGTACTCTAAAAGATCTTTTTAATTTTTTAGTATCCACATCTGATTCACGCCACCTCTAGAATAGGCAGTTTCACAATAACTTTGAAGCCCGGCTTTGATTGCTGATAAAATAGATGTTAATAATTTAGAAAGACGTTTCGTGGAGCACTTGCAATATACCGTTGTTTGTAAGGACTATTATGTAGTTTAGGTATCCAATACAGTGATGGAAGATCCAGTTCTTCATCTTTGGTTGAAATTCAAAAGGAACATAGAACAGACCTATGAGTATCCAAGATTTCCTCTTTGATAAGTGTCGTAAGGGTATATGTTGAGTTTCCAAGTGAATTGTCAATGCCTAATTCATTTATCAAGCAGTTTATGTAATGATATTTACACACATAAACGATGTTGTTTGGGGCTTTATCTGCGGGAACAACAACATATTTGTCATGGAGGTGAGACAAGTGTTTTGCAACATTTGGGTCTTTTTAAAATTGATGTAGCGTGGGTATTGATAGACCCATTTAGTTTCTTAATTCGGATTTGTATCAACGACCTCACAGCCTTAATCCATTCGGAAAGAGTATCTACGTCTTCTTTCTCGCGTTTAGCCCATTGCCTGGCATAATCCTCGACTGAATCCATCAGTATTTTGAAGTTGTATTTCCAATTGATGGATTTAGGCTCACGATATTTCGGACCTTTGGATAACAAATTTCGCAGGAAAATGTTATTGACAATGTTGAGGTCTCCGGTAATAACGTGACCAGCCGGATTATATGTGAATTGAGATCCTGCAAAACGTGTTTGTAATTGAAAATTTTAGTTGCAATTGGTTTGGTATAGGAATAAGAAATTATTGGTACAGACTGATCTTTAAAATATGGAGGTATTTTCGACTAAACTAATTTATGATGAAGGATATTGCCTCAGTTGACTCCATCGAGACCTTTGTTGGCAAAGGAAAGTTTAAGAAAAGATCTTTTCTCTTTTTCATCTTTTCCAATGCGAACTGGATAACTTGAGCAGAGAATGAAGTTTTGAAAGGGGTAATGAATAAAGTTTCGTGTGAATGTGATGAATACCTAACGGCTTTTGTATAAATGGCAGCAAGTCATTAATAGAGACATCATGCAAAGAAGTTGATGTATGATGACGATGACCATGACTGCGTCTTCGTCGAGGAGTAGAGTTGAAAATATTCATCACATTCACCGAGCTACAGGAAGGACTAGATAGAATACCTATACCATCAATTTTGTCATTGCAACCATATGGTGTCGCAGTTCCCAATTGTCGAATCCAGTCCTCTTTTTGTCTACGGAGAGGCGTTACAAGTTGAGGATTGTTAGTCTTGTCTCAACTTCTAGAGGGAACAACCACGTATTTTTTAAAATTTTTGATTGTTAAGAAAAATCGAAATGCAAGGCTGGAGAGAAAAAAATAATTCTGAAACATTTGGAAAATTAATCTGCCTTTCCGCAAAATCATGAAACCAAAACAAACTTTATTGATTTATAATAGACTTAAAAAATGACGTGTTCCGTCCTTGTGACATCATTAGACATGGTTATTTTTGAAGTTACCATTAAAATTTCAGAGACAAACACGGCATTTGACGTATCTTTTAATTTGACCAATGAAGGGATTGGATCAAATAAACCACTATCTGATTATAGAAATAAATGAAGAGGAAAAATGGGAAAAGTATAAGACGGTTTAGATTGTATTTATTGCTCATATGGAAAAAAAAAATGGAAGTATCTGTTAAATTGTAAGTGGATACCTTGAAAGAGTGAACAATGTATTGCTTGTTATGAAAAGGATGTGTGTTATGAAATAATTATGTATTTGGTGTGAACGATTTGTGAAATTTGCCAAGCTATATTATTTAGCGTAAAAACATAAGTCTCGCTGCAGGATATCATCATGACATTTGATTGTTCTTTTCTTATGCTATTTTTTCAAATGTAAAGACATGTGAATAAGTTAGGCATGTATATAACAAAATATGTACTCTATGAACCAATCTTCCAATTTCATCAAATCAGTTGCATTTTTCTTTTCTTTTTAGTTCATAATGTAAATAACTAACATTATCAATATATTTATTATGTAGAAAGTAAAATCACAAAAATACTGAACTCCGAGGAAAATAAAAAAAAAACAACGGAAAGTCCCTAACCAAATGGCAAAATCAAAAGCTCAAACACATCCAACGAATTGATAACAACTGTCACATTCCTGACTTGGAACAGACATTTTCTTATGTAGAAAATGGTGGATTGAACCTGGTTTTATAGCTAGCTAAACCTCTCTCACTTGTATGACAGTCGCATCAAATTCCATTATATTGACAACGATGCGCGAACGAAACAAACAGACATAATAGATAAAAATGTCAAAAATAAGGGTACAGCAGTCAATATTGTGTTAAAATCTTAATCACTATAAAAACAAACAAATATGTAACAAAGAAGCACAAAAAGGCATGATAGGTAATAGAGCATGTGTTTTTTTGATTTTTTGTGTATATTGTATCTAATTTATCATGGAGACAGATCGACATAAGCACTTGTTGCTTGTTTCTGAATCCTTTTTTGAATGTGAATAAATATTGTAATTGTATAATTCATAATTAAAATATTGTTTACACTAATATATCAATTCAAAAAAATAAACTGAAATTTTAATAGCAATACTTTATCAAGTACAACTTTAAGCTTGTTCATACAATAGAAGAAAAAACCATCAAACATTAAATTAAACGGTTAAACTATGTGTTTCCAATAAAATGAACTTTTAGTTTGTGGAAACAAATTATTATTATATATATACAACTACAAAATCACCTTTTACCTCAGCTGGTCGCAACATCAAATTAACTATTTTATCAATTTGAAGCATGTACACGTGGTCCTTAGAGTGTTATATAATTATAGTTGTATTCATCACAACAACCAACATACCTGACATGGATATAAATAGTTATAAGTGTTAGTGCAAGTTAGCGCAATTTTGATAACCATGACATACACAGGACGAAAACGTTTCAAAACGTAAAGTTGGTCCTGCATATACCTTCTATTTTTTCCATAAAAATCTTTTAAATCCTTTTACATTTAAACAATTATGACTTTCTCTCTTGACCACTATACTTTAAAACTAAGATAGTGTACAAAATCTTTAAAATCAATTGGCCGAATTATTACTCACCATGAGCAGTATGGTGGATACTACTACTAGTGGAGTAGATTTGCCTGTCCTTCTGATGCACATGGGATCACCTAAGTTCTTGTTTATACATACAGTAAGGATTTAGAGCGTGATGTATGATATACATTTTTTATCGTTATTTCAAGACTGTATATTAACATCTATGTGTCGAGTAGCCATTGTTGTCGTGGTGCAGCTGTCTCGTTGTCGTTTTATCCAAATTTGATATTTTTACAAGTTAGAGTTTAAACAATCGGTGAGGGTTTAACCTATTTACGTGCACTTAAACATTCAATCTACACCACATGTCATATATGTAAAGTCAACCCA